TTTCCGATCAATAAAATAGACATTACTTTGTTTCCGAGTTTCCGATCAATAAAATAGAAATTACTTTGTTTCCGATCAATAAAATAGAAATTACTTTGTTTCCGATCAACAAAATAGAAATTACTTTGTTCTCAATTTAAGACATTATTTAAGTTCCAATTCTAAAAAAGAGAATAATTTATTTCCAATATCATCAATAATGACATTACAAGTTACAATCTACAATTAGACATTACTTTGTTTATATTTCGCACACAAAAAAACAACAGATTCAAACTGTATTCAACAGATAAACATTAATTTGTTTCCAATTCACAAAATTAACCTTAAACTAAAAAAATTGATATTACCTTGTTTATAATCAATAAAATAGACATTACATTCTTTTCAATTTACTACATGATATAACATTACATATATTTAACAGATAAGTATTGCTTTGTTTCTAATCAATAAAATTGACATTACATTCTTTTCAATTTACTACATGATATTACATTACATATATTTAACAGATAAGTATTGCTTTGTTTCTAATCAATAAAATAGACATTACATTATTTTCAATTTACTACATGATATTACATTACATATATTTAACAGATAAGTATTGCTTTGTTTCTAATCAATAAAATAGACATTACATTCTTTTCAATTTACTACATGATATTACATTACATATATTTAACAGATAAGTATTGCTTTGTTTCTAATCAATAAAATAGACATTACATTATTTCCAATTAATAAAAAATAGACATTACATTGTTTTCAATTAATAAAAAATAGACATTAATTACATTGTTTCCAATTCATAAAAAATAGACATTACATTGTTTCTAATTAATAAAAAATAGACATTACATTATTTCCAATTAATAAAAAATAGACATTACATTGTTTTCAATTCATAAAAAATAGACATTACATATATTTTTCCAATAAATAAAAAATAGACATTACATTGTTTCCAATTAATAAAAAATAGACATTAATTACATTGTTTCCAATTCATAAAAAATAGACATTACATTGTTTCTAATTAATAAAAAATAGACATTACATTGTTTCTAATTCATAAAAAAATAGACATTACATTGTTTCCAATTAATAAAAAATAGACATTAATTACATTGTTTCCAATTCATAAAAAATAGACATTACATTGTTTCCAATGCATAAAAAAATAGACATTACATTGTTTCCAATTAATAAAAAATAGACATTACATTGTTTCCAATTAATAAAAGATAGTGGATCACAGCCATATACGCCCACCACGGCATGCGGATGGTAAATATTGAAGATTTAGGGGCCAGGGCAATAACTCTGCTTTTAACGGTCGAAAATAGCTCAAATTCGAACTTGATCTTCGTTTTATTAATATGTATACACATGCCGAATTTCATTTGATTCCATCAAAAAATCTATTTTTAGAGCGTTTACAAGCAAATGTTGACGGACGGAGCGACGGACGGACAGGGGTGCCGACATTATACGTCCACATAGAGAGTTAATAATAGACATTACATTGTTTTCAATCCAATAAGAAACCCTTGAGTAAGTAAACTCACCATTTATGTAGATGCAGACAAGAAATATTACTGTAACTGTATTTTAATTCTTAAGTTTTTTTTTTTACCTGCAATCACAATAAAACTTATTACAACTTCAACCAGAAACTGCATCGACCAAAATTAAGTCCCTTCCATATAAAAACTTGGTCCAAATGAAATCATAAAGACTATGTAAAGAGATATTCGATAGCCGTATTCCACTAAAGAAATGGGGTTCCCAACCATGCTTACATAACCTTTGAAAAGCCACCATAAAAGCCAATTATGAAAAGCCACCTTGCTGAACAATCTTCTTACAAAATATCCAATCTAAGAAAATGCCTGTGAACCTTCGCAGGAAAAGGGTTAATCAATTTCACCTCGTGTATGTTTAGGCCAAATATTGCTGCCATGAGACCCTACCAGGGAATGAAGACTTGGCTTGGGGTAACGATTACAACAAAACACTAATGCTGGGGGAGGGAAGGGTTGTGGGTGGATCACGAAAATATTTCGCACATCTAGCCTGAAAAAATCTGTAAGAATTATGTCCCATGTGTAATTTTTAGAGCAAAATATTTCTCAATAATGATTGCAAAAGAAATTTTTGGAGTGGATTAAACCAGCAAATATTTTATCGGTGGCCTGCTATGCACGCTGAATTTAGGTCACTTTTGCTCCGAAGGCATTCAATTTATTTTGCACGTGTATTCCTAGGTCAGATGAGTTGCCATAATGATCTTGAAATACCTGCAAGGGGTCCTCAACAACTGACTTTTCGCAGATCACACCTAGTGCACATCGCTCTACGTTAAGCCGCCATGTGAATTTTCCCGACGTCTCCCCTAAACGTCGCGTCGTTTTCGAAGTGAAACAGGGGAGTAGTAGTTGTTTTAGGCCCTATAACAAAAATTTTCCACGAAAAATAGGAAATTTGTGGCATGTCACCACTTTGCATATTATTTTTATTTCGTTTTTATCAATAAGGGCCATTTTCTTCAGAAGAATGAAGAGACAGAAAGATTATTTTAGTACCAACCTCTAAGAAAAATTATGGATCCTTGAAAAAGGACCAGACGATATTTACACTCAAAAAGTGGAGGAGCTTTAATGTAGTCCGAAACATTGCGCAAAAAATCAGCTTATGATTGGAAATATACAATTCAGAAACGACTTTTTCTACCCTAAATTTTTAAACAAGATAATTATGCATGTTCATGATAATTGTCGCTGAAAATAGGTCGACGTAATGTGGCAATGGAAGTGAATCTACATACATGTATATGATCGAAACCATGCTATGCCATTTCGGTTTTTCAAACTTCTCTTTTAACGAAAATTAACTTTAGTCCTACTCAACAGACTAGCTTTAAAGCGGAAATCTGGTAGTTTGATATATTGTCTTATGTAAAGTTTCTATTCTTTAGTCATGTCACCTGGTTAGTCCAACTGATGAATATATACACTTTTTGACCAAGTTTGAGACTGTGTGGAATTTCGTACAAGCAATAACTTCAACTTTACAGTACAATCAGAGGGACTTGACATTAAATGAATCAATCAAACTAGAAGCGGTACATGCATGCTGTTTTCAGGTCGGTGCCTGATATTTAATTAGTCGCTGCCCGAAAAGATAATATCTGAGGCGCAGCTGCCCCACAACTCCAACGCCTATGTTACTCCTTAAACAGTAACAGTAGTAAGTAAAAACACTTTAGATTAAAATTAGTCCAAACTTTCGTTCCATTTTTTCTCAGCTTTTTATTTTTAATTTAGGTACTTCTGTTAGGGTCTCATGATGAGCCTCTTGAACATTCATCTCTTTGATGACCCCGGCAGTCAATTAAATTCTTTCCCTCTCCAACACTGGGCTTTTGTGAATAAAAGATGTATTAAGTTAATAACCTAGTCTTATGCTCGGAATACACCTTTTGTTCGTGTCCCCAAATCCCAGCAAGTCCCAATCAGATTAGGAAAATTGAATTGGCCTCGGTTCTCAACTTCTAGCAGCATATAAAATAATACAAGAGTGGTAACAAGCCAATTTATTCAAGCCATGCATATAAATATAAAAGTTAATAACAATGTAATGCTTGTTGTATCCTTGATGAATAACAGTTGAATATAAAAACTGAGGTTTACTAGATCTACACATACTGTATCTACAAAATAATAAGATAAATCAATACAAATAAGAACTTATGCCTTTCAAATAAAAAAAATAATCATATATATAAATTCATCCAGAATGATTTCACCACCAATAAAATAATAACTTCGAAAATATATTTATGCAAAGACTTTCAAAAGCAAATAAAGTCACTTTGATGACCTAGAAAAACATTAAGTTAGTTTGTGCTGAAAATAGTATAATTTATAGAGAAGATGTCTTATATATCTAGCACTATCTTTAGTTTTCATACTTGAAATAATCTTGAAATGAAAGGCTCTGGGCAACCTGATATATACCACTCATTTATGAATAGAAATCATTTACAGACTAAGACCAGATTAAATGGCACAAAAGAGTATAAAAAGAATATAGAAGAATTTATAAAATATTTGAAATAAAGAAAAATGAAAGTGAAGAAAATGACATTATGATTATGAACCACCCACCCACTCCACTTATCAAGGAAATATCGAAATCTAATGCCAACCTATGCCAAAACTCATCTCCCCCACCTTGCAATATTAGGTCTTCAGGTATCAATTTTCATTAAAAAAAACACAGAAGTAATAGTTCTATATCGCTCTACAATTGATGTTTTGAGCACTACTATATTAGTGTAAATATCATGTTTTAGTAAATAATCTTGAAAAAAGGTTACACAATATCTCCTACACTAGCATGTATAACTAACCTCTGGAAAGAATTATAGAGAATTGAAATGACCTTCAACAGATACACATGGTGAATAGTTATATATGATTTGTATATTATCTAATAGATGATTTAGGTCTTAAAATATGAACAATATCTAACAGTACAACATGCAATATTTAACTTAATTAAACAATAATTGTATTCTATAGTCTAATTATAATTAGCTTGGTCTATATAAAGCTCACATTGTTCAAAACAGTTAACTTTGAATGCAATTCATTTTGTTTATAATCAAATTTGAAATGTGGTCTAGTAGAGCTTAGGATATTTTTAAGCTGAGTTAATTCAAAGATACCATAAAGATTCATCATGTAATAAATAATTCAAAATTCCTTTCACAATAATTTTCTCAAGCACAAAATGATTTTATTGCACAATCCAGTGAAAGTCTTTATTTCACCATTTCCTAAATAGAAGTATATCAATGTGTCCCAAATTCCTAATCCATTTTCTTTCCATTAACCATTTTAAGACTTATAATGGCACTCAAATGCATTCTTGTCCTGAGTTACTGATGAACTAAAACTTAATTATTAAAAATTAATAATCATTCCACATTATTTCTTCTTATTTTGTTCATCATAGGCTTTTTTCAGTCTTTTCTTGAGTTCTCCAGGAAATTTATCATAACATAGTTTACATACTGGTTTCAGATCAAACTCGAAAAACTTGGTTCTGAAAAACACAATATAATACATTAGATATTAGTTACCTCCCTTATGTTAGTTTGAAACAATATACAATTGAACTTACAAAAGTACAGGCAATTATTCTCTTCATTCACACATTATTAAGTTAAATAGCAATTGAATGTAAACAGCCAGTTGAATAAGGTAATATAGTAAGCCTTAGTATTTGTAAACCACGATAATTGTTTCTCGACTGTATGAGCAAGATGATGTAACTTTCAAGACATTAATATAACATTCCAACTTTTATATTCCAACTTACTTTTGACTCATTTTTCTATCACAAATCGAACAGGCAAAATGGTTCACACACCAAGCCTTATTGAAGGCACTAAATACTGAAAACCAGAAAAATAAATTTATCGTTGTGTATGGCATGACAAATAGTTAAAAGAAAGGCTATATGCCACTACAACAGCATGGTGGCATACACTACTATCACTCAATGGATAAAGTTATTTCCAATTTTTATTAGCACATATAGGCATACTAATTTTGAACAAAATCAAAAAATTATTTTCACCATCAATTGGTGATGAGTCACCATGTTAGATAACAGACAAGCACGACAATGTGTAAGAAAAAGACTCCTTGATTATTATCTTATTCAATCTTGTTCTAAATATGTCTATCCCTGTTTCCTCTACCATACAAGGTTTAATTTCCCATTGGACAATGTTCCCAGTGTATTAATCATACTCCATAACTAACTATTGATGTCAAAATAAAACTCATCTCAGACTTACCATCTCCATTGATGATATTATTACATACAAAACAGATATTACCAAATAACTACAAATATACAGAATAATGCAGTCACATAATGGTTCATAGAGTTAACCATGGTTACAAAGTTCACAATGAATACTTGATAGAGCTAACGTGGCTTAGTGAGTACACTTGAAGATCTCTGCATAGATCAAGAATACCTTCAGATTTTTCATAGCAGGTTCTCCTTGTCAGAGGGGCAGACAGCATAGTCATTTTGATGGGACAATAAACCAAAGCCTTATGTCGTACAGGCTGTGCAACTGAAGATCCATGAAAAAGCAAGGGATCTGTAATATTGGAATGGTGCACATTAAAGCTAAGAATTGACTTAATATAACTTACCTGATGATAATGCAATTCACAATAAGCCAAACCCTTCTTCTCATAATGCCTAGTTCCTAAAAATGGTTTCTCACATTTGGCACACACAAAATGCTGAAAATGAAACATTGAGATGATAATTTCTTAAATGCTATCAATCTATTTCTCTTATGCTAAGCATAGAAAAATAGAACATTGATTAGTATGATTTATTACCCACATGTGTGGCAATTCCTCCTGCGACTCTCTAGTCTACAGAACATCAAAAACACAAAATACTTACCTCAACATGCCAAGCTTTACCTAGAGCATGAACAACTCGTTCTTCTATAGGTCTCCTGTAATAACGAGAAATAGACATAATGTTAGTTTAAAACCCTCCTCAACAGTTCTAGTATTTAAAGTAAATTCATGGGCAACATAATAAGTTTATTTCTAAAGATTATATGAGACAGAATTCTCTTCTTACCTACAAGCACCACATATAGGTATTCCCATTTTATCATGACAACGTAAACAGAATAACTCTCCTGTCTTTTCCCTGGCATCAGCTGTTAATTCAACACTAAAAATATCAAAATATAAGCAGGTGTCAAATGAATTATGAATTAATAAGGAATCAAATATAACTTATGGTATGCTTTCAAGAGGTTAATGTCTGAATCTGTTACAAAGACTGCTTCCACTGCACCTTACAATTTTCAATGTTTGACACAGCCAAGCTTTCAGCAATAGCCAATACATGTATATCAATGCACTGATCAGGAGTTATATCTAGATCAAAATTATACTCACCTACAGTTGGAACAATTAAAATGATAAGGATGGTAAGCTTCCCCTTTAAACTTAATATGACCCTCTTCAATAATAGAACTAGAAGACATCAAAATTATACATAGAATTAATTATTTGTCATTTAATAAATAAGACAATAACAACAGAAAGCTGTTATTAGATTACAAGATAAGTAATTTACACATTTCAATAGTCATTTGATATTTTTTTTAAAAATCTGAACTAGGTTATATTAAATTATTATCAAAAGATTGAAACTTACTGGCATTTATGACAGACATATTTTCCTGAACCTTTGGCCTTTTCTTTAGCATTACATTCCCGACATAAGGCTCTAAAAATAATACATAAATTTTTAGTTTACAAAAGTTGCTAATTCTACCAGTGCCTGTTAAGGATGAAGCTCAAAGCAGAAAAAGATTTTCAGATGGAATAATTTGTTAAAAGCTGAGAAAATCCTCGTCCTAGTTTATTTAAGAAATAACTACATATCAATAGTAAGATTCCTGTCTTGTCATTGCATATTGCATGGAATTCTCCATCTTCAGTGTGATTTGAAAATCACTAATTTACTCCTTTCTCTCTTTAAATATAGATTAAACTAGCAGATAATTTAAAACAACAACAAATCATGTACAAACCTTCCAGCATTTTTAACAAAACCAGCATCTGATAATGTTATATTACATAATTCACAACAGAAACAGTCTGGATGCCAACTATTGTTCATAGCTTTAATAACACGGCCAATAATAAATTCCCCTGTAACATACATATTACATCAATACATTACTTATCTCTGTCTGTATATTTTAAACATTAAACATACTCTTCACTTTTCCCTTAATCATCTTTGCTTCAATTTCAGATATGCCAAAAAGCTGAATAATGTTTTTATTTCTATGTTAATTGATCTTATATGCGATTTCAAAAATTTAAATCGAGACAAAACATACCACATCGTCCACAACATGGTGCAAAATTGACATGGAAATCATGTTCACAATATTTTCTACCTTCAAACTGAAATATAAAAGTTATCTCCCTCTAATCAGTAGAATAAAAACCGAGAAGTATCAGTACAGCACAACAGCAGTATATCGTGAGTAGGCTTGAAACCTCGTGTATGCCATATTTGGCCATTTTGACTTTTTGGTACCGTTCGAAAGCTGGTAAAAACACAGATCTTGTGATCAAAACCTCTCATTCTTAGCTTGATTGTAAATAACCCAAAAACCACCAATTAATTAACACGTATATAAACAGTCAAATTTAAAATCTCGTAGAAATATTATAGTATACGAGGTTCTATGTTCCTTTTTCTGTGGATGAGAAAACCTTGTATACTGTACTGTACTGTACAAGATATTGGTTGAATATGTCAGAGTACTTTAACATTGGTGGTCTGGCAAGAAGAGAGAAATAACCTTCAATATTTGAAGGCATGGTTGGAAATGACTTTTTTTATTCAATGCCTACCTCGTAGAATACACCTTCAGGAAATGGTTGGAAACATTGAGCACATCTACAAACAAAATACAGCAATTAATTAGATAAGCTTACTTTAGAAGATAATTTCAGGAGACAACTTAACAATTTTGAAAGTTTAATAATGTTTCAGAAAAAAAAATTAACATGCTGATCACTTGTAAATCTGTTGAATTTGACTTAAGCTTATACACTACTGACAGGAGGAATCAGTCTTCCTATATACAAATGGTTTTACTGGAGAATTTAGCCTTAAGCTTTCTAATGGGTAGCATATGAGTTGTCTACAGATGTTTTATAATGAAGTTGAATATAGAAAAAGCAGTAAGATATCTAAGCTTTGGTAATAAAGTAGTAAATATAAGACATAAAGATATTGTATATTTCAAAGAAACCTTTGTAATAAATAATAAGCAGCAACATCAGCACAATCATATCACAGTTTTACACATAAAAACAAACTCTGAGAAAAACACAATAAATCAATTCAAGAAAGGCACAAATATAAAAACACGAAAACTTAGCCAATCACAGAAAACTTTCGAACAGCCACAAAGAAAAACTTAAAAGTGATAGGCTTTTTACATAGTTACGACATCATGTGAATGTAACTCTTCAAAAGAAAAGAACAAAATAATGAGAACTGAAGCCATCACATACTCACACAAAACAGCTCGGATGCCAAACATTACCATTGTAGTTAACCATTTGGTCATTTGGTTCAATATAATCATGACATTTAAAACATGCCGAAGCTTGGGGTGTATGATATCCATTTCTGGTAGAAAATTAATTTTTAGTATGCTCATATGTTTTTTTTTAATTGAGTTATATCATGAACTTGGAAAGTTCGAGACACGAGGCCAATAATTTTGAAAAAGTTTTTTAAAGTTTCTTATATCAAAAGATCTATAATCTCAATATATATAAGTAGTTGAAGAATTGGACATTTAAATGCATTGTGGATCATCTAGTGTTCCCAGATTACATGATGTTATATTTTCCAATATCATACATTTGAACATACTACATTATTAGTATAAATTATCAAAATGAAATGTGTCAAAATTATCATTAATAATTAATTACAGAATAAAATAATTAATTGAAAGGAAATTTGATAAATTACTGTACATAAATGAAATATTATGTGACTTTAAAATTGAAGCAAAATGAAAGACATTTAAAAAGGATGTAGTGAAAATGAACCAGCTTCATGCATGACAAGTTGATGATAAGTTAATAAGGAAACATGTTAATAAATGACAATGGAATGAGGAACACAACCCAGCCTAAAACATATAACTACTAGGAGTCAAAAACCAATCTTGAAACAGTTAACATGAAACAAACAGAAAGCAACAAAAAATGGTAAAAATATTATCATCATGCAAATAATTCAGAAATCTTTAACAGTTTCAGTGAAACCAACACTGAATAATGTTTCTGGATCGGCTATACAATTTTCTTGGCGTTTGTCTTCATGCATTAGCATTCTTGCAGACTATGATATTTCTGCTAGCATGGTTAGGGATATTTATGGTACCCTTTTATATAAGCTAATACCACTACATCATGATAATATTGTTTCAGATTTTGAATTTGGTTTTTGTTCAAATTTTGGTTGTTTCATGAATTCTGTTTATCATAATCCACATTTAGAATGGAGACATAATCAATAACTTCCATAGAAACTGATCTACTTTTCATGCTAAACATACATAATGAGACAAAAACAAAGTAACAAATTTCCATTATGGAAACATAAAACAATTTTATACTTCTATCCCTTTTCTAAACTAAAATTGATTCTCAAAAAAACTGAGTTGACAAATTCTATACATGCTCTACCGAAACACAAAATAAACAGATGAGGAGGGGGTAAAACTAAACTATAACTATTTTAACTAGAGTAAGAAGAACGAATAAAAAACATTCTGAAGAAACCATGAAAACAAATAGTTTGCTATCAAAAAATCTTAAACAAATTGCAAAAGAAGTTAGTGGAAAAAAATATGCACACTTCCTATACCAGGATTGAACCCTGGACCTTCAGGTTAGCGAGCATGTGTCTAACTCTCTGAGCCACAAAATCAGTTAAAAACAATCAAATCTATAACATCAGTTAATGTACGGTATGTAGACATGTATCAAATTTGCCTAAATCAGTTTAGATTCTGGTGCATTTAAAAGTAAATATTAAGTGACAGAAGGACAGATGAACATTGTGCCAACAACAGGATCATCTCTATAAACATGTCACTCTTCAAAATTCAAACCTCAATTTTAATGCATGGATTAAATGTATCCACAGCAAATGAAATACATGCATAACAACCAATTCAAATTAAATGAAAGTAAACCAGAATATATTACTGAACATTACTTTCAGTTTACATAAATTTTATGACAACTAATCTGAAAGCTGATCAAATATTTATTTTTGTATAATATCATGGTTCATTATTTATATCTTAGTAACAAAATTTCTTATTTTAGCTGAATCAAGAATTTGATTAAAGCTTTGAATGTAGAGTCTTTCAATTCAAATGCATGTGAACCATACAGTAGATAATCTACATGTGACATATTTTTTTTTTGAATAACAGATGAATGGATCCATTGCATCAAAAATAAATTAATTAATTCAATGACAAGATATTCAGATGTAAAGGAATTTATTTTTTTTCTGTTCAAGATCTCAATAGGGTTTAAAAATATAAATGAAGAAGATAAAGGTCATATAACCATTCCCTTTAACTAGTCAGTTACCATAACTAATACCTACATATAGTTGTTACTATCTATTTATAACTTGGTATATTTACTACTACTTATTTAAAATAACATATACTTAGAGTTCTATTTCTTAGTTTTACTCTGCAGTCAAATAAATGTTAACACCTTAAGAAATTAATTTTAACTACCGGTAGTTCAGTTAGTCTTTTGGTAGTTCAGTTAGTTTTTCCGTTATAAATTTTTAAAACCTTGTAAAGTGTTCCTCTTTAAACATTGCATGCTCCCCTTTTATAATTTTCCATACTCTTTTATGTACATCTACTTGAAAAATGCAGATACCACTAAATTCTACTAAATTCTAATCAGTTTATAAGAAGAAATAAAACAATTTGAGTTACTGATAAGTCTACTGATATGAAATATTTTACTCACACAAAACAATGGGTGTGCCAAACTTCACCATTAGAGTTTACTATCTGTTCATGAACACCAAAACCTTCACCACATCGACGACACGCCGCATTTCCCAACGACATGTTCGAACTGAAAATATACAAATACACATGAATATATTGATATTATGAATTTACTATATAATGCTGTAATGAGTATTACTGTACAACTACTGCATATCAAAACTGAAATATACAAAAGTTATCTGTACATATGATGAAGTACCAGTAATAATAATGTAAACTTTCTGACAAATTAAAAACAATACACATAATGAATTCATAATGTATACCTGCTGCTTGACATATCTTAACTAAAATATATACAACTGTGTAAAAAATACTTAAATTATTGTTGACTCCATCATCTAGATCTGCTGTAGTGATATTACAAATTATGATGACTCAATGAAAGAAAGCCAAGTTGGTATTAACTTGCACTGTATGATGTATGATATGATCTCAGTAAGTAATGTAGCATATCATACGATAATCATGTAATCATAGACCCTTCATTCATAAAAACAGGTTTTAAGGCATTTTATCTAAATATGTGTTCAAGAAAGATGACATACATATAAGTTTACCTGTTTTATGAATTAGTTTAGTGAATTAAACTGGTAAATATATATGACCACTGACATTCAGTAAACTATCCTACATATTTGTGTTAAATCTACCTAGTTCTCTGTTCTATAAATGTCAATAGTCCATTCTAATTTTAAGTGTTTTTTAATTGGAAGCTATGATGACCATCATTGGCCACAAATGTTTTCATGTACCGGTACTGTATATATTGCAATATGTAAGTACATATATTATGTTATGATTTCAAAGATCTGAACAACCTAAGGCAATGGGGTAATCTGGTTTCTGCAGCTTGTAGATATTTCCACTGCATAGAATTAAGGCTTCCAAAAGCACAAGTTTTGGTCTATCTGTGAAGATATAAAATTTTAGTTAGAACTCAGGTAAGAAGCTTATAATGAAGACGATATCATTCACGAATAGCAAGATATTGTTAAAATCTAAGATTACCCCAATAATTCACTAATATCAGTTGTAGATCCAGTTCCATTTTCATTTGGTAAGCGACGCCTCTGAAATAATGGACTCTCAGTCGTTGAATTCAGGGGTTGGAGTCTGAAGTCAGTTTTCTTCTTGACCACAGCCATTTTGTCAGTTTGTCACAGAATAACAAGGAGAATTTTTTCTATTCAGGAAATGTTCAATATATTATATCCATGCACTAGAAATATCCAAATTATACTATCACTGTGAATTAAGAAAAAAAAATCATAAAACCTGTACCAACACTTTCCCTTTCTGACTAACTAATTAAAAATGTCTCATAAAAGTTCCCTTAAAATTTTTTTGATATTTGTCTCAAAACATTAAACAAAAAAAAAAGCTCTAATATTTCAAAAAAAAATAACTCAAACTCCTCATAGACCTTTCATTTTCGACTACATAATTAGAAAAGCTTTCCCTTGCTTTAAAACTTCTATGTCCAGGAATTCAAGATACACATAATAATATCCACCCTAAGAAGATATAAGATAGTCATCACACTCTCACTATTTTATGGATATAACTAAAGTTAGGTTTAGTTGATATGTAATATGATATAAAGAATGTCTATTGTTAATCTGGCCAGATTTGACAGGTAACTGTAGAAAAATTAGACATTCAGGTAGGTAGGAAATAACAAGGTGAAGGCCATTTCATGTTGCCTCAAGCTTGTAACTGAATACTTATAATGAAAATCAATTGAGCGTTAAACTTCTATATGCATAATTAAACAAATCTTACACATGTTATAGAATTGACCAATCATTATAATGTAAAGGGAAAAAGCCCTCTATATATTCACAATAACAATTGATAAGAGATAAACTATACTGCGTATATGTACTATTGTTCACTTAGCTCTTTATAAACATTTTGCCAAATTTTTTCAAAATAATTATCTTTAAGGCCTATTATTTAAAATATCATGATTGATTTGTATTGATTATATTCTAAAACTGTACAACAGCACAATTAGCTAAAACTAAAACCCTTGTATCGCGGAGTACATGAAAGTGGTTAATTAGAGGACTGTTTTCCTTTAAAAGCTCAGCTTAATCTGAGACTCAATTGCAACCAAGGTATTTAGATTTGTCCCTCTTGAACTTTTGCTCAAGGCTTTCAATTACCAAACCTAATAATCTACCTATTCATACTATAGAAATAAGCTTACTTCAACTCAAATATTTTGTATGAAAGTAAAACTGTCCAAACTTTGTTCAGGTAATTCTCAGTGTATTTATCATTGTCAATTTCTAGTAAAATAACTGTGTCAAAATAAGATTAACAACTACATTTCATTGACCGAGATAACAAGATACAATTTGTTATTATCATAATAAATAAGACTGTTGAAATTTCCTTTTTTTACATAAGAATAAATAACAAAATGACTCTGTGAAGCGTGAATATTTCATACCAACATGGTACAAAATAATGAAATAAGACACTATTGTTAGGTGGTCAAATATTCAAAGTTCACATTGTTATGGTAATAGATGCAACCTCTTTCTGACAGATCTTTAGTGTGTCTTCAATAAACCAAATATTTAGAACAGCAAATTCTTCACTACCTATAATGAACATACTTTGTCCTCCAAGAATAATAACATCCAATTCTGCAAAAATCTTATAAAGCCATAAAAACAGTGGAAAGAAATGTCTGGCCAAGTCAATTCCCTATTCAAACTCAAGACACATTCATTAACTTGAAAATTGAAGACAGCATAAAATCATTCAACTAGTAAAATTTCAAGCCTACTTTCCAGTTGTAAAAGGGTTACTGCACCTCTGAAGTAGCCTTCATAAATAGAACAAATTCACACATATTCCTACATCAAAAAACCAAATGTGCACCAACTAAAAACTTTCCCAATAATTTCATAACAAGATTATTACAAATACAAGTAATCCACAAAAATTCAATTCACTCTTCCTAATGTTATAAATGAGAATGATAAATATGTGTTGATAAAAAGATAGTCCAAATAAATACAATCCAATAGTAATCCTTTCCAGAAATACAATAATACTATCTCAACTATTTAGTTACAAATACTCTCTCGTCTTATTTACATATGAATGGGAACATCTGAGATAAGTTGCTAATGGAAATGAACATCATTAAGACTGTTTACGACATGTCAACACACCACATTACACCTGTCTAGTAAAATATCAATTACAGCCTTCTAAATGTCACCAATATAGATAATTCTTGCATTAATTCAATAAACAAGTTGTAGGTATGAGCCTATGAAGGCCCACCAAAATCATGTTACCCCCTGTAGGTATAGACCTATATCTATCATAACTGTCATCTATATACCAGTGATTTATAACTCAACTGGGCGTGAGACAAGGTAAAGATTAAACTAGTGTCACATGGTATTTTACTCTGTATATTTTAATATTTACTTTCATTAAGTGATATTTAAGGTAAGGAATGTAGTCTTAATTTAAATTTTAGCCTAACTATGTCATTTTAATACTTTCATAAATAATATCTGATATGTGGAACCAAGTTATACAACAGTGCCCTGAAATTTCACTTTCTGACATATTCAACTATCAAGTATTGACCTTAGATATAAAAAAATACTAGAAAATGACTAAAATGAATCGATTTTCCATACCTTATAATTTACCAGCTGGAAAGGCTCAATTTCAGTTATCAATATCACCTTTTTGCAATGCAATTCTAAAGCTCAATTGACTTTTTTATTCACAGATATTGATCGTTTCATAACATGCCCAATTCGAGAAACATTTTCCCAGTTTCATGAAAATCAATTGAAGATAAAATGTGTACTTCCAAATTATCCTGAGTTACTGAAGGCCTGAAAGTTAAGGCTTATGTCAGGAATTTAACTAACTATACTGGCAACTGCAGGTGCAGATTCTGACTGCTCAGGTTGGCTATTTGCTTTATTTTTAATTGCAAGTCGAACACAAGCAACTGATGGCAACTGGCAGCACATGCACTTTTTTAGTTGTCAGTATGATCAAATTTTTCTAATTACCACCCGTTGCAAACAGTCCATGAGATTCCAGTTGCTCCTAGATACAGAAGATTAACTGTCATCACTTATTATATGTTTTTCATCATTTGCAGATAAAATTACTATTTTTTACTGTAAAACATAAAGTTAGAAACACATTAAAACTTACTCTTCATCTATTTCCAGATCACCTTGGTCAATACATTCTAGAGAACCATCCATTCTTAAACCAGGAGTTAAGTTTCTAATGCACCGAGTAAACGTTCAGTGGCTTTATTTAAAAGACAGTCAAAGACTACCATATGATATTCATGTGCAAATCAAATGGAATTTAGTAAAAACAATTGTAATGCCTTATGGAACAATATACCAAAGCAATATAAATGTGTCACTTTCCATTGGTTGTGTGACATACAGAAAGGGTGTAATCTTTCCTTCCTATTATTATTAAACTGGTTGCATCTGTAAATTTTGTAACACTAATGAAGACTTCAACAGGAGAACATCTTTGACAAAATATAACTAAGAGCTAAAGAAAGTTTTGAACTGAAAAGCTTATTGTCCTAAATTGAAGATAGCTGTGGTACCAAAATCTATCCATTAAATTACTTAATTTAGAAACACTGTCAACACATACAACTACTTTAACTCTTAAACTTCAAGAAGTTAAATATTTGAAGTTATTTCCTGTTGATATTAACATAATATACCATATTGATAATTTACATATACAGACATTCCTATGTTTTATAATCTTAACTAGGGTAAACCACTGCGAAGCGAAATTGCTTTATATGCACTAGGCAGATTTAACTTCTCTGCCATCTTCATATTCTATTTTATCATAATTTGCAGCTCATTCAACAGAATGAAATTGGAATGTAATTCATAGTTGATATGTTTCAGACAAGTGGTATTTGGGCATCTGGAGTGTAGTTTGAGTTAGTATGATTTTAATAGATAGAACAGCTGCTCTAAATGTACAGAGAGAGACATATGCAACACCATAACCTG